AAAAAGGAGAAGGAGAGAAGCTTGCCTATGTGTTCTAGCATCAATAGCAATTTTTCTCTCTTCTCCCATTTTCTCTCTCTCCCCACTCTGGATTGCCCTTTACTCTCCACTTATCCCATCACCTCATTATGGAGTGAGCAGGGCTGAGGCCACAAGGTAGCTGATTGGAAGTCCCACCCATCCTTTTCTAGAAACCTTTTGGGTCTGCCGTCACTGACCCTGCATCCTGTTCAGAGTAGCAGTTTCTGCTGCCATCATCTGCCTTCCAAGAGAATGCCTCTTTTGATGTCCTTCTCTTATCTCTAAAGAATTGGGGGGGGGGAGGGAAGGCTCCCACACCCTGTTGGATTTTTGGTGAATAAAGAGATAAGCTACCTTGTTGTTACCTTGTTTTCTTAAAGTTAACCTGAATCTCAAAACAAAGTTGTCCATTTCCCTCCTTCCTATTTCTCCCAGCCTCTTACGGTATTTCAGCCATTCATAAACTTGTTGAGAGAATGGTATACCCTGATTCAGCAACGTCCTTCCCTGTTTTGCTGGAGTTTCTAGCTCTGATTTTAAAAGAACAAAGTTTTTTCCTATCCAGAAGAATAGGTCAGAAAGAAAGAAGTCATGCCTTCCCCAGTGTTGATTCTGTTTGGGATGAAAAAAAAAAGAGTGTTTTTCCTTTGTTCCTCCCTCCCTCCCTCTCTCCCTCCCTCTCTTCCTCTCTCCCTCTGGAATCCTTATAACGGCAGACTGGTATTACAACAGAGTTTTAACTAGTTTGTAAGAAGGATTACAGAATTCATACAAACTACCTTGAAAACACAAAATGCACTAAAAGAAGTCCTATGAAAAATGGCAAGAAATCAAGCATGTCAGCCACAGATATGGTGGTATGGAATCACTATTTCACTCTATCTCCCCTTCAAAAGACTGCTGACATATCTTTAAAAACCCAGACATGTATTTCCAAATGTTATTTCAAACCCAGAATCAAACTGCAGTTGGCACATTTAGCAAAATATCAATTTGGTATTGGTACTAGGAAACCAATACCATTAGACTATTCAATTCCAAATAAGTGTAGATTTGGGGCATAGAATGATTGCCTATACATTGTTTATTCCACCCCCTTTAATTTTTCATCCATTTTCATTAATTTTCTACTAACATTTTAAACGTACAGAATTACATATCTTTCCCCCCAAATTGTAAT